ACTCTATCTTCTAGGAAAGGTCAATGTTCTGTAAAGTTCTCATTTTCCAAAAAGGGGTTAAAAGCTCCTACAAGCGGCCGGCTGAACCCCCCCCTCTTCTCCGTCCCAGCCGTGCTGCCGGCACAGGCCCATGTTTATCAAGCTTCAAGGTCACAGTCTCAGGCAGCGGCTCTCTCTTTCTCTCTCTCTCTCTCTCTGTCTCTCAGGGGGGGCACCTGATGGCTCCCGGTGTCTCTCTCTCTCTTTCTCTCTTCCACCCTTCCACCCCGGGGCTCAGGCCTACCTCTCTAGGCCTCATGGCTTTCCCCTCCCCCTGCCCAGCCAGCAGCTGGGCCGGGGGAGAGACCCGAACTCTTTCCCGCTGGAAACCCAAGAGGACCCTCCCAGGGGAGAGCTCTGCTTTTAACCCCGTGTTCTCAGAGGCGTGTCCATGTCTCAATGGCCAGGTTAAATGCCAATATTAAAGCCTGAATATCCATTGGCCAAACACAGCATCCCAAAAAACACATTTCCTGTCAAACCACCACACAGTGTTTCTTCCATGCTTCCAGAGGCTGCTTTCTCAAACTCTTTCCCAATCTGATATGTATGCATGGATGCATCTGGATTCTTATCTAGGCTGAGCTATGAAATCTGGAGTAACTGCTTTGATGAAATCAGTGGATTTACTCCAAGTTTACATTTGTGTATTTGAGATTAAATCACTTTTTAAAAAACCCCAAGCAGCTAGTTCACAAGATTTGACATCCACAAAATTACCTCACATTAAAAAGTGTGAGGGAAGCATCTTTTCTGCATAGTTTCCCCCACCTTTTTTAAACTCCTTTTTACAGCCCTACCTGGGTGAGTTAGAAGAGGGTGGAACTGCAGCTGCTGGTGTCCAGGCTGGTTCTCTCAGAACTTCAGTTCTCAGCCTGCTCTGGCTGTGCACTGTGCAGAGCCACAACTTGGAAAATGCAGCAGAAAGCATGACTAGAACATGCCTTGCTCTTCAGGAGTTTTCCACAGCAGCAGTTGGTCTCCAAACAATTCCTGAAGGAGGTCAAATGGTTTCTGCTGCAGGCAGACTGCTATTGCAGAGCATCCTGGTAATCCAGGGCTGTGGCACATGTGGCTTTGATGAAATGCCATCACCACGAGAGCCAAATGCAGTGAAACTGTTCCTGATTTTTACTGAAAAGGGAGAAACCTCATCCATAGAGAGCAGAGCTGTGTGCAAGCATGCTCAGGAACAGCCTTGCCTTGGGAAAGGAGCTGTAATGGCCAAAGGAAAGGTTGAATTTGCAATCTAATTACCCAAGATGTGTTTGCAAATATTAAATATGTGCTGTTTTGGCTCTAGCTTTAATAGGGCAATGCCTATAGAGCACCATGGGAAATAAGGTCTATATGCCACTGCATTCCCATCTGCTTGTGCCTCCCATCACTTTGCTGCCTTACAGGTGGAACAATATTACCAAGGCACAGAAATGATAGACAAAAATGTGTCATTACCCAGCTCCCTGTGTGCAGTCTGCCAGAATCACATGGCTGAGGCACAGAGGGTTTCCCTGCTGGGCTGCCTGGCCCTCAGCCCTTGCTGTGATTTAGGGCATGCCTAAAGTGCCACTTGAATACTGCAGGAGTCTGAAACGGTGAGGAATCGTGAAATCATTGGCTTGTTCGTCCATTTGCCCAGCTTTTCTGCTGCACCATGGAGTTCCTGAAGTTACAGGTTCTCCTGTAATGCACGCTCATTGTGAGCCCATGTGAAATCTACTACCATGTGAACTTGGTGGGCTGTTTCTCAGGACTCCAGGGACCAAGGTGGCATGGACTTGTCACTGCTGTAGCAGGCTGTTGCTTATCCTACAAAAGCCAAAAAAAAAAAAAAAAAAAAAAGAAATAAAGCCTAGCAGTTTTACAATAATCCAGTGGAAAATGGATTTAGGAAAGTGGTTTGGGGATTTTGCTCGTTTCCTATTGTTTTGGTTTTGCTACAGAGTATTTCAGAAAAGTGCTTGTGTGGCAAGGCTGAGAGAAAAGCTCTTCAGGAGAAATGTTTCCCTCCCTAGGAAGTGCTAGAGTTAACTAAGAAATCAAACAGCCCCCAAACCCAAAACGCTGCAGCCTCAATACATATGCAGTTAGCTACAGAGATATCTGGAATGTAGTACTTAAGAATAAGTTTTTCAAGCAGCAAACAAGTCTTTGATGAAAAGTCCTTTTGAGATGTTTTCTTTTTTTTTTTTTTTTTTTCCTGTGTGTGTGAATAAAACCTGATTTCCTGGCAGGCCAGTGGTAAGATTTGATACAGAGTCAAGTCCCCCATCACTCTGAGAAGAAAAGCAAATCTGTTTGAAATGTTCTCTGTGTTTGTAGGCAGTGGCAGGGTCACAGCAGAATTAACCACAGAGGAGGCATTACCTGGCAAGTTACCTTCATCAATCGAGTGCAGCCTCACCTGCACGGGCTCTTTCCACCAGGGTACAACTGCTGGGGCTGCTGCTGGCTGGATAAAAGTCAGAGCAGCTTCAAAGAGCTTCTCTGAAGCCTGGTGAGGTTGGGATCAAGGGAAGAGGGATGAACCTGGGGTGGGGGGGGCTCTCCAGGTGCAGTGACTGTCAGGGCAGGCTGCTGCTCCATCTTCACAAGTTTGGTGCTTCACTGGTTTGAAATGATCACTGCGGTAAAGGTAATTTCTGTACTGGGACTGTTGGGTCTAGTGTGAAACAAGTGAAGCAAGGTATGACAGATCATCTGGCTTTGGAACTAGGAAACAATAGTAATATAATTATAGTTTTTGGACAGGTGCTTTAATACACTGGTGTGGACACTGTTTTGTTTAGAGCAGATCACGGGATCTGGAGGAGGTGTAATGTGATGCTGACTGTGCCTCAGACTGAGTACTGCTGCTAAGGCAGAAATTCCCAACAGCTGGGACAGGATTTGACATAAATACCAAGATATTGACTTTTGCATTTTTGTTTCTGTAGGAATAGTCTGTTCTTGAATACGTGAAGGTATAGGGAAATCACTTGGAAAATGGCCTTGTGCTAAAGCAATTAAATAATATTTATTTCAAATAATTAATTCCAAGGGAGGGATACAATTGAGGAAAGGCAAAATAACAGAGTGAAAACCGTCTGCAGACTTTTGAGGCATTTCTTGTTGGAAAGGGAGGGATTATTACTGATACTAGCTTTTCAGAGGTTTTAAAGTAGGGTTCAATAACTAAAGGATGGATTGTTTGGCATCAACATCTCCATAGCTCTAAATGTTGGTTGCAGTTAATGTAGGTGCAATAAATATATATGTGCAAAAGAGTTAATTAAAAAACAGCACATGTACAACAAGAAATGTGTTACAGCAAAATGCAAGCCTAATTGACATAAATATCAGGTAACCACTGCTGAAGAATGGGAGAACTCAAAAACAGCAGTGAAGGAGTTCTGATTGATCAGCAGATCTGCTGTTGTCTCTGGATTTGCCCCATATGTCTGTAGTTCTCTCAGTGTTCTGTAAGGCACCTGTGCTGTGCCAGAGACAGTGCACTGGTGCAGATCAGTACATGCAACAAAGGCAGGTTTTTTCTCAGTGAGAGGAAGGATTCTTGTCCTTCTCCATCCTTGGGAAGCCTAAGCAATAGCAATGTTTCCAGCTCTCCAGGAGGGCATAGAAGCCATGCCAAGAAGCACACAGAGAGCTCCTCAAATATGGAACACTTTCCTTTTTCTGATTTCCACATTGACTTTCACCATATTGCATGCTTGCCTGCAAGGTCACCTCTGACAGGGGAATTTTGTTCCTAGTTTTTCTTACCCTGTAGCATTCTCACTGGGAAGTTGCTCCAACATCTCTGTACAGATCAGGAAAGCCTGTAAAGGTCTGGCCTAAGTGTGGGCAGGTGCAATGATCTGTCAGTGATCTCTCTGCTTTTAAATGTGGATTCAGCTGGGGTTCAAGGTGTGCCAGTGTTTGGGAAGGGCTATGCTTCTGTTTATTGAAGCCCCAAGTTTATTCGAGAGCCTTCTGCTCCCTTATTTCATCAGGGAGAGCTGCCTGGACTAAGATAGGCTTTAAGTCTAACACTAAATCAGGTGCTAAGTAACCTGAAGTGTGCTAGATAAGCTAATGCAATTTGTTGAGCAATAGAAATTTAAATTCCTTGTAAAAAATTACAAGCAGAATTAGCGATTACAAAGCACAGCAACCAAAAGCACTGAATTTTCAACTCAGAGGGACGTCATTGGAGGAATTAACATAACCATTGAATTAAGGTAAATAATTACTGAATTGATGTAAATTTATTCAGGAGTAAGACTTCAGTCCAAATTTGGCTTGTGAAAATGCCACAGTAGTTATTCATGGAGAGCCCTGGAAGCACTGGGGGCTGGAGATGACTGTGTGTCAGTTCATGGGAGGGCAGCAAGGAAGATCTGCCAGCACATCTCAGCTCTTCTGGGCTGGCCTTGATGTAGAAGTGCAAGACCCAGAGAGGCACTTCTGCCCTTTGGTGCTCTCTGTCACCTGCTCCTGCAGCAGCATTGATTACAGCTCTCTGTCTCCTGCCTCAGCTTCACAATTTGTAAACTGGAATTAATAGCAGCCACCACTGGGATTGTTTGGAGACTTCCCCCTGTTAAAATGCCTGTCATTTCCACACTGCTCCAGTAGTGCTCAGTATTACTGTTATTACATGGTGCTTTCCTAGCTTGCTGTTCAGAAAAGCAGCTGCCTTCTATGGCTGGTGTAAGCTACCATTATGCTGGGTTATATTATGTATGTGACTGTACTTTTGGCATCCGGGTCTATCATTTAGATTAATTTGGAAATTGTGTAGTGACTTGAGGAAAGCTGCTGGTGAATTGAAGTTTGTTAGCCCAGAAAATATCATTAGTCCAAAAATTCCCTGTAATTGTATAATAAATGCAGTAGTGGATGGTCTTGCATATCAACCACACACTTGAAATATAACTTTAGGTACATTTTGCCTTTCCTTTTTTTTTTTTTCCCCACAGTATGGGGTACTGCATCCTTTTTGTCCACGGTCTAAAAAAGCTGTCTACGTGGCTAAATAAATGGAGAATTACTGTTCCGACCCTCTTTGCTTTGCTGCTGCTGCTCTTCTCTTGGAAGACCGTGAAACAGAATGAAATCTGGCTGTCACGAGAATCCCTTTTCAGGTAGGAGTGGGCACAGGATAATACTTACATTTTTATGTTGTTTAAAGTAAGTTTGTAACATGGAATAGTTTTCTTTAGAAAAAGTTGTGCTATTGATGTGTTGATCTAATTAACATTTTTATTACCATAAAATAGCACTTTCTTGTTGTGTGATAACTGTGCAAAAACTGGTGTCAGCAGTTTACGTGCTGATGGACAAACTTTGGTTCTGACAGTCACATTTTTAAGACATGCTGTTTTTAAATAACTTCGATTCTGTAGATTTAATGATAGCATTTTGCCTTTGTTTCTAAAGACATAGCAAAAGTTTTTTGCAGCACTCCAGAATGCCATAGTAACGCTACTGAATATATTGAAATTTCTTTAGCAATGTTCTAATGACAAAAATAAAATGCCACAAAGTGCCAAACTTAATGTACCATATTTCATTTTATTTGATTACTCTTTGCCAAACAGCTCTGTTAACAGCCTCATTTATGTATTTTCTTGCATTGAAACAGACTGTTTCATTTTGTGTTTTGCTAGAAAATGTATTGCATTTGCCTCCAGCTGCTTTCAGCAGTTGTCTAATCGTGAAGTAATTGCAGAAACGCAGGTGATCTGCACACAGGTTGAGCTTTATTTCCTAACTGATTGGCCAGAGCAAAGTTTAATTCATGCAGCACTAAAAGTATGAAATTGTTTTTTATGTGTACCCTTTGGTCTTCAGCAAACACTGCTGAAGTGGTTGGAGCTCTCTTAGTGGGGCTGTTTTTTAAAAAATCTGGAACTGGGGTTTCTCCCCTCTGCACGATTCATGGAATATTCTGAGCTGGAAGGGACCCACAAGGACCATGGAATCCAGCTTTTAAGTGAATGGTCCATAGAGGGCTGGGATCAAACCCACAACCTGGGCACTGTTAACAGCACACTCTGACCCATTGAGCCAATCTCAGCTCCCTGCTGGCTCCCTCAAACACTGTTTGCTGTTCAGGCAGTGGTGACAGGGCTGGACTCACACAGCAATCCAAACCTGGCCACTTGGAGGAAAGCAGGAGGGTTTCCAAGGTGGACCACTCTCTTACTGAAGGGGAGGTGGGAATATGACAATTCCATCTGCAGACTTGCAGGCATCATATGGTGTTGTGTTGTGAAGAGCTGTGGTCACCCAGGTTTAAGAATGATGATGTTAAACTGTAGCAGGTGACAGGAGGACATTGCCTTCTAGTAAGGAGTATTCTAGGGACAATATGGAGTGCTATGGGATCTGTGGCAGAAGAGAGGGGTAAGGTTATGTCTGCTTAATTGGATATAAATGGAATTTTGTCCTTCCAGCCTCCTTTCAAAGCAGGATGACTGTTTACTTCCAGTTCTGAGGTGGTGCCACTGCTGCAGTGCAGCTCTGAGCTGGAGCTAACACACCTTTACCTCCAGGGAGGGACTTGGGGTAGCCCAGGGCAGTACTCAGGGCTCAGTGCTTTGGCCTGAGCTGTTTCCCTCTTCAGCTCAGGACTTTTGGGGACAGTACCAGGAGAGAGGTCTGCCCCAGGCTTTTGAGGGAATGGCAGAACTCTTAAATTCCTGCTGGGTCACCTCGTATTGTGGCCTGCCCCTAAGAGCAATCAGCAGCAGCTGCTGAAAAAAGCACTGTAAGAACAGGGCCAGCAACAATAATGCTTCTCTCCAGTTCTTTCCCAGCTTGCAGTAATCTGCAGTTTAAAGACTTCCTGAGTCAGGAGTTACTTGCTATTTTTGCTCTTAACAGCCACTGATGGACTTTTCTTCCATAATGTCTCTGACTGCTTTTTCAAATCTATTTATAGTTTTGGCTTCTACAGCATCCTGTGCGCTGGGCTCTGTTGTTAAATTACAGAGTGTGCACACTAAGATTTCCCTCTGTGTGCTGTGAGCCTTCTGCCTGATTATCTGGTTGGTGTCCCCTGGTTCTGGTGTGCTGAATGAGTTGTGAGTAGCCATCAGCTTGTCACTTAGATAAAGGCACTTCCATGCCTTGAAGCCCCATGGCCTCACCTAAGGCCATCTCCTTTTCACACTGAAGTCAGCTGGTCTTGTACTCCCCTCACATGGAAACTGTTCTGCATTTCTGATTCCTCTTGTCAGTCTTCTCTGGATACTTTCGTACTCTAATCCATCCTTTTGAGAAAGGGGCCAGAACCATCTTTGCAGCACAATAACATAGGACTGCTTTCTGGTTTTTGTTCTCTTCTTCTACTGGTTCCTAATTTTCTGCTTGCCTTTTATGACCTCTCCTAAGCAGTGATTGATAATTTCACAGCACTCTCAATGCAAATTCCATTACACCTACTGTGACTGGAAACGCCAGGTTTTTAGACATCAATCTGTGTGCAGATTTAGAGTGTGTGTGTACACACTCTCTGATGCTTGTGTCTGTACTGATGCTTTGTTTCTTGTGCCATCTTTTTCCCCAGTATTGAAATACAGTGAGATCCTTCTGCAACAAGGTGTAGTTAATTCTTGCAGTGTGATTCACATTGGTGTCATCAGCAAACGTGTCCCCTCCTGTTTGGTGCCCTTTCAAGATCTTTTGTGAGCACCTGAAGTAGCTCAGGTGCCATTGCATGTCTCCTGGGAGCCCTGCTTGTACTCTTCTCTTGCTGTAAAAACTGTTCACATAGTCATGCTCTTTGCTTGCTGTCTTTCAGCTAAGTATTGATTCATGAGAGGTTCTTCCCCTCTTGCTCCATGACGCCTTGAAGAAATTGGAAGTCTTTAGTGAGGGATTTTCTATAAAAAAACCCTTTTTGAGTATTTAGGTGCTCAACATTGGTGTATGTGATTTTGATTGACTGGGCTATATTTGGGTATTTATAAAGGCTTTCCATAGTTTTAATAACATGTATGTACCCGATGAGTCTATAAAACACCAACAGAGCTTCCCAAATAACTTCTTTCTGCAGTATGCAAGGCTAATTATTTGTTGGACTGTAGTTATCCAGAAATGTGCTAGAATTACGATTTATTATGGTTTTCCCCAAATTACCTGAAGTGAAAATCACACTTTCTGGTCTGTTTCCCCCTCAAGATCCCTTCCCTGGAGCCAAATGAAGTCATGTTCATCAACTTCCATTCCCCTAGTGCCAGTCTCATTTAAATTATAGGCTACCTACCACAGCTAATAGCTGCCTGTTTGATTTCCTCTGGATGCATTCTACCAGGCCCAATGGATTCATAACTGTTCTGGGTGTTGATTTGCTTTAAAGCCTCTTTTACTGCCACTTCAGTCAGAGACAGTGCTTGGGTCTTGCCCTGAGAGGAAAGGCTCCTGTGTGGCAGCTCCTTGGGTTTCCCTCTAGCAGCAGTGGTGCAGAGAATCCATTTAGCTTTTCTGCTGTGGTCTTTTCTTCTTTAAGCACTACTTTTAGACCTCCATCATTTATTTGCCTTAGGGGATCTTTGGCAGGTTTCCTCTATCTGATGTATTCCATTATTAGCTTTGATAGCTTTAGCAAGTTTTTCTTTAAATCTCTTTTGGTCTGCCTAATTATGGTTTGTGTTTAACTGGCTGACGTTTATGCTCTTTTCCTTTTTCCTTCTGTAGCTGTTCCTTTTTAAAGAATGGTTTTAATTTCTCATAGCTGTCTTCACTGTGCTGTTTACCCTTATGGGCCTTTTTGTTGTCCTTTCAAGATCTTCTTTGATAGGTGTTGCACATCTCTCACAAGTCTGTAATGTGGTAGGACCCTCCTTGTTGATGGGAAGGAAATGCAAGAGAAGAATAGTATAGCAAGAAGATAATGTCATTCCAGGAGTGAGAGATCTCCCCTGTGGGGAAGAAGGAGGAGGCTGATGAGGAGAGGAGGGAGAAGTAGATGGAGGTATGTGAAACAACAATAAATTTTAATGGACAGAACAGGAGGAGGATACAGAGCAAATCTATAGATGTGGGAAAGGAGATACAATCAACCTACTTGGTATTCTCTGTGTGTGTTGAATTTTTTTTAAGTGTGTGCTGGGGGAATCTTTACTCACAATCCTAGTTCCTCATTCTTCTTTCTCCAGTTGCTGCTTTAATTAATTACTACTTCTTCCCTCCTCTCAGTTTTTTTTTTTTCCTTTCACCTCTACTTTTTGTGCCTGTGTTTGCTTGTTTCTGCAGGATTGATCTGTCTCGATTCCCTTGGCTTTAACAGACCTGTTCTGTTAAATATGCTTTTTCTGTGCTGCTCCAGGAGATGTTTGTATACTCAGCGTGTTCCCAGCTTTGTGCTTGTACCCCATTCCATCCCTTTCTTAAAACTGACAGCATCTTGACATTGTGTGACACTGTTGCCATCTCTGGGCCACTGTGGCCACTCAGTCCTCAGCCCAGGGACAAAATTTTGTAGTTGGGTGCTGTCTGAAAGCAGCAGTGTGGGGGAGGCTGCTGCTGTCTGAGGAAATGATGCATCTCCACATACGTGCACAAGCATGTGTGCAAGGACTAAATGAGAAGCAAATAAACCACAAGTATCAGACTGCATCAGCCAAATATATAGAGAGATATTTGAGGCATATTATTCCAAGACATCTCTAGAAGCCCCAAGCAGTTTGTCTTACTGTGTTGGCAGGTGATCAGGGAGGACTCACTTTTTAATTATTTAAGGAACTGCCCTCTAGAGTGAATGCATGGGCCAGAAGGTCAGACTCAAACTGTGGTCAGCAGCAGTGTCCAAAGCCAGGGAGAGGGAGGGGAGAGCTGTGGGCTGATCTCTGCATCCTCTGTCCTGACCTTTCCAGGCTTGTCAAGTTGCCATGTTTCCTGTTGCTCCTGGAAAGCGTCCGCACGCGCTGCCCGCGGTTGTGACAGTGCCTGGAAACCCAGTTGTAACCAGCAAAGGAACTGTACAAAAATGATGCTTTCTTAGTCAGCAGCTCCCCTTCCCAAGCCAGGTCTGCTGACTTGAGAAATTTGCAAAAACTGCTCCAGCCCCAAAGTGGCATTTACTGCTGTGTTGTTTTGTTAATTCTGCAAGCTGGCTGGGCTGAAAAGAGCAAGTCCTGTTGCATTTGGGGCATCTTCTATAGGAATGTTTAATATGGCCCAACACCAGGTGTCTGTGACATCAGTACAAGGGTAGGAGGCCAAGGAAGGTGGCTGTTTGTGTCATCCAGAGAATAATTTGTTGTAAAGAATCTTTGTTGATGATAATGATTCCCAAAGCAGAGGAGACACCATCAGTTTCCCAGGGTTCCTGCTGAGGCAGGAGTGGTCTCATGTTCTTCTAAACTGAGCACTTTTCACATGGATATCACAGAAAATCAATGAAACCTCAGCCCTGCACCCAGTCACCTTGTAGAGCAGAACATGCACTTGGGAAAGCAAGAGAGGGGATCTCAGGGCTTTTTTCCAACTGAAGTGGAGTTTGGATGATGCTGGTATTTGAGGTTGGAAAATACCAATGGCATTTAATTTCCTTGATTTATGGCTAATAGGCTTTTTGTTTTTCCCCGGGGAGGAAGTGTTACGTAAAAAGGTTTGCCTATTGTTTATTTTCCATTTCTGTTGCTCACTGCTGTCGTAGAAGTCAGAAGGGAAGGAAATCCTCTGGAGAAGTGACGTCCCGTGGCAGTGGGCTCGTTTCTGGCTGGAGCCAGATTGGTCCCGTAGGTTTTCAGAAGGGCATGTGTGTGACAGGCTGGGCAACAGGGGAACAGGAGAGTTTGGAAAAGCACATTGGAAAATTATATTGAAATTGTGAGAGACTGGGAGCTTGTGGGAAGCAGAAATGGAAAAACATTGTGTTCTGCTTTGTTATTTATACTCCACCCTTTCCTTCTTGGCTTTCACTGTGGACATCATTGTTTCCTCTGTCAATGAGCAGTGTTCTCGACTGGTCAGGAACCAGTTGGCAGAAGTGTTAACTCCTAAACTCTCCTGAAAATTCCCCTCTGCATCCAGTGCTGTGTTTGCTGCCTCCCCCAGTGCAGAGGCTCCAAGCAGTTTCAGTCATTGCTACGTGCATTTGCAAAATGAAACGTTCCCCCTCCCTGCCTGTGTGAGGAGAATAAATAGGTCAGTGTGATGCAGAATAGAGCATCTTAAGAACCCAAACCCATTTCTGCCTTTCCTGTGTCACCCCTGCCACCAGCAGAAGCACACAGACGCAAGAAGCTTTATTAGTGATGTTGTAATAAATGCAACCAGCGGAATTAGTGATAAATTTTACTTAAAGGAAAACAGCCCAGAATTAAAATACTTAAACGTATGTATCTTGCTGTTAAAACTGTATCTCATCAGAACTGAAGTGCTGGTGCATGTGTAATGTACTCCTCACTGTTAGCTCAGCCTGCTCTGTTTCAGCAGAGGCTGTAGCAGAGCAGCTCCTTGCACGTAGCTCGGAGGGAGCAGCAGTTTCGAGTGCCATGTCTGTGCCTGTAACACTGATGCTGATGTAATGAAACCCTCTCTGTATAAGAATTAATATTCCAGTAATGCCCAGAGGTTGTAAGTGTGTAGTTAATAGCTCCCAAGGCCAATGGAAATTAACACAGCCATAGCAGTCACACATTACTTGCTGCTGGTGCAGTATATCTTTGTGAAAACTAATATAGAAAATCATTCTCTTAAGAATAGCATCAATTAACTGATTTAATTCAGCGATTAGTCACAAAATGTCTTATTCCTGTAGTGCTCCCAGTAAGTAATTTGGAAATACCTGATGATTAGGAAGCCAAATGCAAGGTGTACTTTTAATTTTAGAAGGCAAACCGTGGCTGTGTTGAGCTGAACTCTGCAAGGCAGTTGTGGGCGAAGCTTTGGAAGCTCTCACAAGTAGGTGTTAGTGATGCTGGATGCCACTGGCTGCAGATAACCAAAAGAATACCATATTTGCCATTCCTCAGTGCTGTTCTGCAGTGAAATCCCCCTCAAAGGGTTTCTGCAGCTCTGGGTGTATTTTTCCCATACAAGAGGGTGTGCACCCCACAGCAGGGGCTGCCTGTGACCCTGTCTCAGTATGATTAACCTCCATGCTAACTAAAGTTAAATGGGAGAGGCAGACAAGGCAAAGCAACAAGATTTGGGAATTTTCTAGTCCTTGGTTTTCCTACCTGAGGTAGAAGGGTTGGAGATGCTGGGAGTAGAAAAGAGATCAGCTGGCAGGAATCTGCTTGTGAGCAAGAAACAGCACTTTGTTTGCTTTTACATGAACAGATTCATCCATCCTTATTTCCCATTACCTCAGAGAGCCCCTGTTTATGTGCTGGAAAGGATTCCCCCATTAAACAGAGCACTGACTTCTCTGGATTCTTGCAGGGGAAATGTTTCCACAGTGTACGTGCTCCTGTGATTTCTTTCTCTGTTTAACCTTGAAACAGCATTTCCTCTGGCTGTGCAAGGTGTACCTTGCTTTCTGTGCTCTCAATTAAGCAAATAAGCATATGCTTGCTTTTGTCTTTGTGCCCTCATTATTAATTCCAAATGTTGAGTTCAGTCTACACGTGGCAGGGGAGGCAAAGGGGAGGGATGGGGTGGCTGTTCAGCCAGACATCCTCAGTCATGTATCATAATGCCAGAGTGTTATTTTGCCACCTAAGGGTTAGAGTTCCCATTAGCCCTCACCTCCTGGGCACACTCTGCTCAGCCTCAAGCAGTGCACACGTGCTGGTATTGGAGTATGCCATGCATTCCATCTAGTGGCTGATGCACATGGAAAAGATACCCTCTTTCTGGTATCTGCAGTGCCAGGTTTAAATCAAGATGCTCCATGACACTCAAGTTTAAGCAGGGACCCTGTTTTTAGAAGGTACTGTATGCATTCCCTCTAAATATTAACCATTGAGGTTTTGGTCTTTTCAGTTTAGTAATTCAGATTTTGAATAGAGCAGCCTCTGGCCACAGGGAGCGTTGCAGTGCTGCTGCTGGAAGTGCCTGCAGTGACAGCCACCAGGATGAGCTGAATTGCTGCCACACGTTCATGTCTGCCTAGGGCACTTGGCACAGGGGACAAGCTGGGAGTTCAAGCACGAGCTGTGCTGGCACAAATGCACAGGAGGTGACGAGGTGCTGGGATCAGCAGCAAGCTTTTCAGGAGAAGGGAGGGACTGCCAGAAGAAGGTGCACCCAGGGAAGGTGGGGTAACCTGGCTGCTCACAGTGTCCTGCTTCTGTTCCTCTTCACAGCTCAGGAGTGAAGACCCTGCCCCACAACGCCAAGGTGCACTACAACTATGCCAATTTTCTGAAAGACCAGGGCCGTAACGTTGAAGCAATCTACCACTACAAAACTGCTCTCAAGTAAGTCTCTCAGGGCCTGTGGGGGCTCCTGCTGTTAACCCTTCTCCTTCCTGACAGGCATGGGGTGAGTTGGCTGCTCCTCATCCCTGGCTCCATGGGAGCAGCTTGGCTTTGGGAGCCTGGGAAAGTTCCCTGGCTTGGGGTTTGTGTGCCATAAAATGAGGTAGCCTGGCTTCCCTCCAGCTCCACGTGTGTGTGTGTGTGTGCACTTCAGTACATGAGATAGAAATGTTACCATAGCTACACGTTGAGTGATGAGGTGTCATTTACACAGCTGAATGTATGCTGGTAAGCAGGAGGTAGTTGTCCTAAATGCATTTTCAGGTTCCTGGCCCATTTATCTTTGTAAATTGTTAATGGTGCATGCCTGGAAAATGTCAGTGCAGTAGCCGTCTGAAGTGCAGTAACAATAATGGTGCTTACTGCTTGTGTTGAGGCTTCTGTCCACAGAGCTTTGCATGAATGCTAAGCTAATTGATCCTGAAAATGCTCCTGTGCAGAAACAGGGCAGATATCATTGCTGAGGTTCTGTGCAGGGGGAAGCTGAGGCAGCAGGATGAATTGCCTTGCTTGTAGATGAATGGTAAATCAGGGCCCAGGGCTGGGCTATAATTTGGGACACGTCCTGTGGCTGTGGTGCCTGTGGAGGACCCTCCCTTCACACACAGATGGGGTCACTGCCTGTGAGCAGCTTCCCTCCCTCTGCTGCTCCTCCCTCTGCTGTTCCTGCAGCTCAGCCGCTCCCCAGGCAGTGCTCAGTGCATCAAGCAGCTCACCCTAGATCCCCAAACCTCTCCCCTCTGGTTCTTGGGGCCTGGGAGAGAGCACAAGCCCCTCTGGGGGATGAATGCAAGGAAAAGGCTGGGGGGATGGCATGGTGGCAAGCATGGAGTTCACAGATAGTGTTTTCAGGAATAGAAGCATGTTTGGGAAGGGCATGCAAGGTCAAGAGTGGCTCTGATGGACAGCAAGGGCAGAGCTCAGCTCATAGGGCATGCCAGGAGGTGGAAGAAATGTTCTTTCCTGACATGTGATGTGACAGAAAACTCCAGAAATTACATGTATGTTTTGTCTTTTGGCCAGCTGACAGGGTTATGATAAAAGCTCTCCAAGGGCTCCTAGCCCACCCAGGCTGACCTGTGAGGACAGGAGTTCATTGTCACTGAGGAGGGAGTGAACCTGGGTGAAGGTGATTTTTCGCTTTTTTGAGCAACATCCTGTTATCTTTTGCCATGCTGGGCATTTAGGAAGTCATTTGGAAAAGCCTTCTATTTTTTTAAAGTTTCCAGCAATGGAAAATCCAGCACAACCATCAGTAAATGGTACTGAAGGTTAATTACATTGGCTGTTGAAAATGTCCTCCCTTATTTTTAGACTGATTTGTTTGACATCAGCTTCCAGTCATTGAATTTGTTTACACCTTTCAATGCCACACTGAAGATCCCATTACCAAAATTCTGTTTTCTGTAGAGTGATCAACTCCTCCCTTAACCTGCTGTTTGATAGGTGCTGGCTTTTTCAGCATCACAAAGTTTTGCAGTCCTCCAGTTGTTCCTGTATCTAGTCTTTGGACTTCTTCCAACTTACCAGTAAAGTGCCTATTGCAAGTTAAAAAAAAGAAGAGAATGACAAAAATTATCCAAGCCCTGCAGTGGAGTGCACAGAGTAATGTAACTGCTCTTACCACCATTGCCTCTGCTTGTGTAAATGGGATTTGCAGACAAAAGATCTTCTCTAACTCAGCAGCACCCATTTATTGTAATTATAATGCTGTTTTCTGCTCTGCAGTATTTCAATTATGAAAGAGTCTGTTTTGAGAGCTGATTGCAAACATTTTCTCCGCTGTATTACAGAGCACTGTTCATGCTGGTGGTTTATAGAGCATCTGAAGCCTTGTTGGGGCTGGGAGCCCCACAGAGCCAGCCCTGCTCTTCTGTAGGTGCTTGGTGTCTCACTGGTGCTAGCACTTGACTTGCTTCAGTAGTTTCAGCATTAGCTAGCAGTTTGGAAAAGTGAAACTCACCTTGCACATTCTCTTTTTGACCCAAAAGTGCAGGCCAGGACTTGAAAGTCTCCATCACTGGGAAGCTGCAGTACTTGTTCTTGTCACAGTGTATCTCTGCACTTACATTTTCCTTATATTTACTCCTTCCTCCCCCCTCCGGCACAGGGAAATTATTTGGGGTCTGTGTAATGAGCAACAGAACAATGTAAGTAAAAAGTGCACTGTGTTCTTCTGTTGAGAATTACATTCTGTAATGTCTGTGTTTTCCCCTCAGACAGTCAGACCCTTCCTGCAGTGCCAGGGTTTGTGTGTGAGCCCTGCAGCCTCTGTTAGCTGGGTGCCTGCATTTGGTGGCTGTGTTGAAGCAGTGGAGAAGCTGCTGGGTGTGGGCAGGCAGCCTCAGGTGGATACAGTGCCAGAGCATCCCCAGGTATCACAGAAAGCAGCTGCTGTGTCTATAGAGCTGTTTCCCCATGCTCACAGGCACCAGCTCCTCACAGACTGCTCTGGTTGTAGACCAATCTCCATAATTAGAGAGAAGCAAGTAGTAGCTGTAATATCCTGAGCAGAGTTTGGTAGTTCAGGGTATTTTTGGCCACTGGCTTGACCTGGAAAGATGAATTACCACTCTGTAAATTTCCATGTCAGGGAGTAGGCAGACCAGCAGCTGAGGTATTCTCACAACAAGCTTTCATGATTTCCCACAGGTACCCCTCACTGAGTGCCTGCTCTCCCAGTGAGTGTGGGTGGATCCATCCTCCCCAGGTTACAGAAAACCCAAGCTACTCAGGAGGCTTCACAATCCAATGGTAGCACAGCCAAGAGCACAGAAGATAAAAATATTATTTCTGCCTGGTGCTCAGTGAGCAGATCAATAGGGAATTAATAAGGAACTGGAGTCGATAAGGGCACGGCTTGCTGCCTGGGAGCTCCTGGGAGACAGGAAAGGGAGAGCTGCACTGCCTCAGTGGGTGATGGCTCATCCCCTATTCCAGCTTTGTGCCAAATGACAGTGCAGCTCTGCTTGATCTCTGGTGAATGAGTTTCATTGTTTGGTAAACAAAAAGTGATCTTGTCAGTCTGCACGCTGCTGCTTGAACTGTGAGCAATTTGCCATTCCACCAACTCCACCAAGGTGAGGAGGCACTTCCATGAGCTCCTGCTCTGCCAGCAGTGCTGGCTGCCATGTGTCTGCTCAGCAAAGCAACACCTTCCTCCTGGGAAGCTGTAACTGTGGGAAAGGATGCTGAAGTGCACACAGGTTACCTAGTGAAATTCTAGCAATGGATACTAAATCCTGGGAAGTTGTAACTGTGGGAAAGGATGCTGAAGTGCACACAGGTTACCTAGTGAAATTCTAGCAATTGGAACTAAATCCTGGGAAAGTTGATCCCCAATGCTTTCACTGCTCCCTTTCCTGCTTTCAGAGACAGGTGGGATTTGCTGCTGGCAAATGTTGGTGTATCTCTGTTAACTTCAGGGCAGAAAAGTGGTGAAGGAGAATAAGGGGTTTTCTCTGACAGTGGAACTGCAGGGCAGGTTTCCAAGGCAAACTTGGGAATCAGTCCCAACAAGCACCATTGCAGGTGGCCCATCAGAAAACTCATTCCTCAGCCCAGCCCAGAGGCCAGTGACACAACACCCTGACCTAGCTGGACTTGGGTAATTAGTGCAATCTAATGATGTTCTCCAGGAGTGGGGGAAATGAACACTGAAATGAAATGCAAAAATGGAGAATGAAGTTTGAATTGGATATGGGTGATGAGGTCTCTGGTGCCAGGATGACCCCGAGGTGTTAGAAAAGTCTCTTTATCCCAGCCCCAAGACCAAAGAAGAAGTTGGGATTCCTCAGCTCTGGTTTTCAAGGTTGTTTATTTGCTCTTATCTAATGCATTGTCTTTCTGACCCATTGAGGTCTGTTCAGCAGGTTGGGTTGAGGCACATTGACTGCCCTCAGGGCAGTGTTTTTATACAAAAACTACGTGTACTTTATTTACAATAATTTTCCAGTACCTGTCACCTATGTTAGACAGTCTGTCTCTACTCTAAACCAATCCAGAAATGCCATCATCACAGCAGAAGATGGAGGACAAGAAGGAGAAGGAGAAAGACAGAACATGCCCAGATTCCTCCATCTTGCCTCTTGAACCCCCATTTTAAAAACCCCAAATTCTACTTTTCCACCCGGTGATAAATTCACTATCATTCTATTCAAACCCCTGTGGCTTGTAACTCCTCACACTAAGTTGGTAATTGTTTCCATGGGTTAAAATTGAAGGCACAGGTGTCTTTGACTCCATGCCAAAGTCTCTGAGCCCCGTGCCAGGGTCTCAAGTCCTCCAGGGCAGCCAGAGGAATATCTTGGGTTCTGACAGATGGGGAGAATGAAAAGAACAAAAATTCTTTATATGAAGGAAAAGCTCTTCCTATATGCAGTTCCTAAAAGGGGAATGGCAGTGGAGCCCTTCAGAGATGAGTTACCCATAAAACAGCCCCGACAAACAGCTGGTGTTCAGCAATTGTACAGTGGGTTATAAACCTTTCAGCTTACCTACAGTAAAACAAGAAAAACACACTGCTGCATTAGGCTGCTTCACTGGTTTGCCTGACATATGGTAGTGACCCCAGGAGATCCTTGGGGTTTTTTCCTTCAGAAAGTAAAGGCCAAAAATAGTCCATCTGAGATGTGACTACAGCTATTCTGAAAGCTGGCCTTAACGTTCTTGCTGCTGCTTCTGCTGCAGGTTTGTGGCTGTTGTTAGGAATTCTGGAGAACCTCTGCTCCTGGAGATCAAACAGGGTTGATCTTATCTGAAATTTATCTCACCACTTGTCTCCCATTTGTGAGTCAGAATATGAGGTCGTACAACCTCACACAAATAAGAAGAACAACTCTGATGTGCTAATGAAGATGGTTTTGCTGTGTTTATAATTACCAAGCCTTTGTCCTGCTTTTCCCCAGCCTTGTGTGCTTGATGTCACTGTTGATACTGTG